CTGCTTATAATGTGTAAAGTGTGATGCTTGGCACAGCTATGATTCATGACTGGTGGATTAAATTTTAGATTTTTGAAAGGTAGAAGTTGAATAAGCAACCAAACAGACCCAATTCCTATTTATGTATCTAAGTTCTCAGCACCTTTCTCCTCCTTTCTCTCATGACATTATTCTCTTCGTTCTCACTATAGAAAGAGACTGTGTTCAACTGTCTTAGTGGGTCTCACACTTCTGGCTCCCATTCACCTTATCAGAAATCTTCATATTATCCTAAGAGTTGGCTGGAAAGACATCCTTCACTAACCTAGGAAAACACATTTCCACCATAGCTGAGACTTTGCACTTACATGGCAGCCTCGGGAGTGGGATTAGATACTAAAATGTCAAACTCTAGTCATCAAGATGATTGCTCAAAAACCTCAGTTTAGCAACAACTAATTTAATTGCTAAATTTTATATCCATCTGGTAATTTATTATAAAAGAAATTGCTTCTACCTGCCCCCAAATGCTACTATTTTACTACTCAAAAACCCTAATGACAAGATTTTTAAAAATTTTCTGAAAGGACCAATTTACAGAGATAAAAAAAAATCAGTTAAAAATAGCTGAGTTTCAGGACAGGTCTAATAAAAAAAACCTGGTATCTCTACATAAAAGTCAGTTTCAAAATATAGAAGAGTCGTAAAAAGAACTATTTTTAAAGTTGAATACAGCTGAGTTTTACATTTAATTGTGCTCTCTCGCTTTCCAAAATAATTTGCTTTGTGTATGTTAGGACAATAGATTTCTGTGTATGGCTGAACAGAGGTTAATCATGCATAGAGGCAGCTGCACCAGACCCAAAGAACAGACCTTGGGTGAACGAGAGACCGATGCCATCTGAATAAATCAGTACCTGTATATTTCCTTTAAAAAACCACGCCTCACTTGAAGATTAAAGAGAGAATCAAACTCCCCATCCACATCCATCTCTCTCCCACTGCAACCTCCCACCAGTAAAATGCTCTTCATAAGATTTAATCAGGTCCTCTTTAAACAGACTAGGAGCCTTGCAGATAGATGGTTTAAAGGGAGAATTATTCTTATGGCATCATACAGATCTGAAATCTGACTCTTCTCTTTACTGCATTATAAAACTTACCATCTTTTTAAACCAATCTGATACAGTTCAGTATTACAGTGAGATATTTTTCCATTTCTGAATCTACTCTTTAAAAACAAAAAGGATAAGAATATAGGAAGAACAGCAGAAAAAAAAAAACAACGCTGAGAAAGCACTTATTAAACACCACCTCTTTGAGGCAATTAACTATTTGCGAAAGTTGCAAAGAGGTTCGTTTCCTGCTAAGTTTTTGTGCAATTAGGCCCCATACATGTTCACAAAAGCCTGTTACTTTGAATAACAGGGAAGATTGCATTAAGGAGACCCAAATCTTACTTTATCCTATGTATTGTGTAAACCTGGCCCTTTGGGAAGCCTTTTGGTTTTGTTTTCCATGAGAGGAAAATAAAAGGATATTGCACTTCCCGAATAGGGTGAGATTTCAGACATGTCTTGAAGATCTCCACACTCAGACTTGATGAGCGACAGGGAAAGCCCTTCCGCAGTGCTGGGTGGGTGTGCTGGTGAACAAGGGTGGTGGCTCAGGTGGTGGGATGACATCTTGGTCCTCAGACTCGTCGTCTCCCTAGTTAAGTCTAAGGATTCAGGGGAGGCTCTATCTTTTCCCGAGAAGGAGCCAGAGGGAGCACCTAAGGGACTCTGAAATGGGTAGGCCATCAAGGGGAGGGGGAAGGGGTGGCGGAAGGTGGATGTGGTGAAGCCTGCGGTGGCAGAGAGAGGCGACTGGTGCAGGGGCTGGTGGTGGCCGCCGGCGGGGGGTCCAGTGGCAGACTGGTCAGATGAGTTTTTGCGGACAACCAGGGGCAGCGCTTCTGTCTGGTCTGTGGAGTTGGGCATCTGCACGTTGCCAAAGGTGTCCAGGGGGTTCGGAATGATGACGTCGCCAAAGCACTGCAGGCGCTGGTTGGTGGTGTGGAAATTGTGATTCTCCCCATTGACTGCGAATCTGGCTTGGGGGATCTGGAGAGGTGGGAAGACCTGAGGAACCTGGCGGGAGGGTTTGGCCGAAAAGACTTTGACCACAGTGTCCACAACTTGCGACATGGCAGTGTTCAGTTCCTGTTTCAAGGTCTCGGCCAAATGTTTGCCTTCTGGTTGTAAGGAGTTTGGCCCGTGATCTCTTTCTTTGTTGCTGCCTTCTCGCTTCGGCTTGTTTTCTGCCATTTCCTGCTCCCTGATCAGGGCTCGGGCCCGGTCAATGAACTGCCCCGGGTCTAGCTCGCACATCTCGTTATCGGACCTCCCCACGGAGTCCTGGGCCCTGGCATCCAGGATCTCCGAGCGCATGCTGTCTTCAGACAGGTTCCCATCTTCATCATTCTCAGAATCAGTGCTGTCATAGATCTGGTAGAACTTCTCCTGCAGCTGGCGCAGCTGTTTCTGCATGTCCTCCAGCTGCTGCTTCAGCTGTCGGCGCTCCTCTCGCTTCTGTTCTTTTCGGGCTGAAACCAGCTGCTGGAAACTCTGTTGCTGCTGCTGGGGCAGCTTTTGCTTGCGTTTGTTTTCTCTGTAACTTTCTCGGGGACTCACAGACTGCGGGGCCATCTCTCTTTCATTTTCATTGCCCCTTAATGCCACACTGGGGGAATGGCTCATACCCCGAATTATATTCTCAACCCGGGCGCGCTTTGCTCTCAGGTGCTCATCGCATAAGCGATCCATATCGAACTGGCTCATAGTAGGCCTGCCAAAGGGGGAAAGACACTCTGGGGGGCTGTCCCTTGAAGAGTTGCTGCATATATCCTCCTGATGTACTTCGGAGCCTGTGCTAGAGAGACCGCTGGCTTGGAAACTGGGCTCCGTGCCACCATTTTTGTTCATGTTATTTTTCAACAGCTGGGAAATTATGGTTGCTCCTGGAAAAGGCATCATGGCATCTTCATACGAGTTCGCCCTCTTCAGCAGCTTGCGGAGTACGTTTGACTTTTCCCCATCTGCATGCTGCACCACTGAGTACTCGACATCCTGCTCGGAACCTTGGGGATTCATGGCACTAAAAAACGTTGCTCTTGCCTTAGCAAAAAATGCAGATGCTGTCCCTACCGTCCTTTTCACTCCAATGTCAACTCTTCTCCTCTTGGTTTGCCGGCTTAAGAGGGCTGTGCTGTCATGGTCAGGCATCACTGGACAGTTATTGTGCCATCTTCAAAAGCTCGTCAGCTGGGCACAGCTCAAGAATCCCGGGACCCTGGCCAACAGAACAAAAGGACTGATGAATCATTTTCTTTAAATTTCTCCAAATTTCCTGACCTCAATCCTGAATCAAATGCAAAATGCATAGGCTCTGGGATTTATGGCACATTACAATTATTGCAATTTATTATGCACTCTGCTTGAAATGAAACATTTTTAAATATTTCTGCTCCACTGGTTTAAGATGGATTAAGATTAAAAAAAAAAAAAAGAGAGAGAGAGAGAGCCCCTCATCCCTTCTACTGGCTTCAAGATGAATTAAGGCACCTCTGAAAGGCAGTAGGACCGAGCCCTGGACCTTAGCCTAGCATGAACCTCAGAAGATGCTTTTCCTGCAAAGGATACAAAGCCATTTTAATGGTGTTGGGTCTTCTTACTTTGCTCTTCTCATCCCAACAGCTATATCCAATCATTTCAACCCACGTTTATTGCCTGCTTATAATGTGTAAAGTGTGATGCTTGGCACAGCTATGATTCATGACTGGTGGATTAAATTTTAGATTTTTGAAAGGTAGAAGTTGAATAAGCAACCAAACAGACCCAATTCCTATTTATGTATCTAAGTTCTCAGCACCTTTCTCCTCCTTTCTCTCATGACATTATTCTCTTCGTTCTCACTATAGAAAGAGACTGTGTTCAACTGTCTTAGTGGGTCTCACACTTCTGGCTCCCATTCACCTTATCAGAAATCTTCATATTATCCTAAGAGTTGGCTGGAAAGACATCCTTCACTAACCTAGGAAAACACATTTCCACCATAGCTGAGACTTTGCACTTACATGGCAGCCTCGGGAGTGGGATTAGATACTAAAATGTCAAACTCTAGTCATCAAGATGATTGCTCAAAAACCTCAGTTTAGCAACAACTAATTTAATTGCTAAATTTTATATCCATCTGGTAATTTATTATAAAAGAAATTGCTTCTACCTGCCCCCAAATGCTACTATTTTACTACTCAAAAACCCTAATGACAAGATTTTTAAAAATTTTCTGAAAGGACCAATTTACAGAGATAAAAAAAAATCAGTTAAAAATAGCTGAGTTTCAGGACAGGTCTAATAAAAAAAACCTGGTATCTCTACATAAAAGTCAGTTTCAAAATATAGAAGAGTCGTAAAAAGAACTATTTTTAAAGTTGAATACAGCTGAGTTTTACATTTAATTGTGCTCTCTCGCTTTCCAAAATAATTTGCTTTGTGTATGTTAGGACAATAGATTTCTGTGTATGGCTGAACAGAGGTTAATCATGCATAGAGGCAGCTGCACCAGACCCAAAGAACAGACCTTGGGTGAACGAGAGACCGATGCCATCTGAATAAATCAGTACCTGTATATTTCCTTTAAAAAACCACGCCTCACTTGAAGATTAAAGAGAGAATCAAACTCCCCATCCACATCCATCTCTCTCCCACTGCAACCTCCCACCAGTAAAATGCTCTTCATAAGATTTAATCAGGTCCTCTTTAAACAGACTAGGAGCCTTGCAGATAGATGGTTTAAAGGGAGAATTATTCTTATGGCATCATACAGATCTGAAATCTGACTCTTCTCTTTACTGCATTATAAAACTTACCATCTTTTTAAACCAATCTGATACAGTTCAGTATTACAGTGAGATATTTTTCCATTTCTGAATCTACTCTTTAAAAACAAAAAGGATAAGAATATAGGAAGAACAGCAGAAAAAAAAAAACAACGCTGAGAAAGCACTTATTAAACACCACCTCTTTGAGGCAATTAACTATTTGCGAAAGTTGCAAAGAGGTTCGTTTCCTGCTAAGTTTTTGTGCAATTAGGCCCCATACATGTTCACAAAAGCCTGTTACTTTGAATAACAGGGAAGATTGCATTAAGGAGACCCAAATCTTACTTTATCCTATGTATTGTGTAAACCTGGCCCTTTGGGAAGCCTTTTGGTTTTGTTTTCCATGAGAGGAAAATAAAAGGATATTGCACTTCCCGAATAGGGTGAGATTTCAGACATGTCTTGAAGATCTCCACACTCAGACTTGATGAGCGACAGGGAAAGCCCTTCCGCAGTGCTGGGTGGGTGTGCTGGTGAACAAGGGTGGTGGCTCAGGTGGTGGGATGACATCTTGGTCCTCAGACTCGTCGTCTCCCTAGTTAAGTCTAAGGATTCAGGGGAGGCTCTATCTTTTCCCGAGAAGGAGCCAGAGGGAGCACCTAAGGGACTCTGAAATGGGTAGGCCATCAAGGGGAGGGGGAAGGGGTGGCGGAAGGTGGATGTGGTGAAGCCTGCGGTGGCAGAGAGAGGCGACTGGTGCAGGGGCTGGTGGTGGCCGCCGGCGGGGGGTCCAGTGGCAGACTGGTCAGATGAGTTTTTGCGGACAACCAGGGGCAGCGCTTCTGTCTGGTCTGTGGAGTTGGGCATCTGCACGTTGCCAAAGGTGTCCAGGGGGTTCGGAATGATGACGTCGCCAAAGCACTGCAGGCGCTGGTTGGTGGTGTGGAAATTGTGATTCTCCCCATTGACTGCGAATCTGGCTTGGGGGATCTGGAGAGGTGGGAAGACCTGAGGAACCTGGCGGGAGGGTTTGGCCGAAAAGACTTTGACCACAGTGTCCACAACTTGCGACATGGCAGTGTTCAGTTCCTGTTTCAAGGTCTCGGCCAAATGTTTGCCTTCTGGTTGTAAGGAGTTTGGCCCGTGATCTCTTTCTTTGTTGCTGCCTTCTCGCTTCGGCTTGTTTTCTGCCATTTCCTGCTCCCTGATCAGGGCTCGGGCCCGGTCAATGAACTGCCCCGGGTCTAGCTCGCACATCTCGTTATCGGACCTCCCCACGGAGTCCTGGGCCCTGGCATCCAGGATCTCCGAGCGCATGCTGTCTTCAGACAGGTTCCCATCTTCATCATTCTCAGAATCAGTGCTGTCATAGATCTGGTAGAACTTCTCCTGCAGCTGGCGCAGCTGTTTCTGCATGTCCTCCAGCTGCTGCTTCAGCTGTCGGCGCTCCTCTCGCTTCTGTTCTTTTCGGGCTGAAACCAGCTGCTGGAAACTCTGTTGCTGCTGCTGGGGCAGCTTTTGCTTGCGTTTGTTTTCTCTGTAACTTTCTCGGGGACTCACAGACTGCGGGGCCATCTCTCTTTCATTTTCATTGCCCCTTAATGCCACACTGGGGGAATGGCTCATACCCCGAATTATATTCTCAACCCGGGCGCGCTTTGCTCTCAGGTGCTCATCGCATAAGCGATCCATATCGAACTGGCTCATAGTAGGCCTGCCAAAGGGGGAAAGACACTCTGGGGGGCTGTCCCTTGAAGAGTTGCTGCATATATCCTCCTGATGTACTTCGGAGCCTGTGCTAGAGAGACCGCTGGCTTGGAAACTGGGCTCCGTGCCACCATTTTTGTTCATGTTATTTTTCAACAGCTGGGAAATTATGGTTGCTCCTGGAAAAGGCATCATGGCATCTTCATACGAGTTCGCCCTCTTCAGCAGCTTGCGGAGTACGTTTGACTTTTCCCCATCTGCATGCTGCACCACTGAGTACTCGACATCCTGCTCGGAACCTTGGGGATTCATGGCACTAAAAAACGTTGCTCTTGCCTTAGCAAAAAATGCAGATGCTGTCCCTACCGTCCTTTTCACTCCAATGTCAACTCTTCTCCTCTTGGTTTGCCGGCTTAAGAGGGCTGTGCTGTCATGGTCAGGCATCACTGGACAGTTATTGTGCCATCTTCAAAAGCTCGTCAGCTGGGCACAGCTCAAGAATCCCGGGACCCTGGCCAACAGAACAAAAGGACTGATGAATCATTTTCTTTAAATTTCTCCAAATTTCCTGACCTCAATCCTGACTCAAATGCAAAATGCATAGGCTCTGGGATTTATGGCACATTACAATTATTGCAATTTATTATGCACTCTGCTTGAAATGAAACATTTTTAAATATTTCTGCTCCACTGGTTTAAGATGGATTAAGATTAAAAAAAAAAAAAGCAAAAACTGCTTAAGCACCAGTAATATGATTCTCTTTCACAAATGCCTAAAATGATACTGTTTATCTTTAGAAGAAACAGTAGATTATAAGAACACAGCCTCTGACAACCAATTGATTAAATTTTGGGCATTGAGATTCATATGACAAAAGAAGATAAAAGTGGTCTATACTTACGAAATAAGGTTAAATTTCGAGGCTGTGTGAAATTTGGGTGAAAAAATCCATTTTTGCATAAAAATTACTGTGCTTTCAATGCTACTAAAGGAGGAAGACTCAAAAATATATGCAAATATTTAACACACACCCTTTATTACTGAATTTTAGAAGATTTTTGTTATATATGAGACAGGAAGAACACCTCGATCAGCAGCATCTTTCCAACACAAATGGTCAGTTTAACAGGGACATAAATGCACAAATACTCATTTTACAAGGCTGCTTATTTGGCTTAACTATGCATTCTTGTTAGTAAAATCGCACTTGAAGATGGTATCTGTTGCTATATTTTAATGTAAGTATGAGGTTTTTATAAATTTTCTTGGTGTCTGATTACTTAAATTATTATAAAGTTGGACTCACTGGAAAAGGACATTGTCACATTTTAGAAATCAATACTGTGGAATAATGCATTGAGTTAGGCAAAGATAAATACATTTTCATATTAGTTTTCTTCTGTTAAAATCTACCAAAATCATGCTTCAACTGACTAAAGAAATCCTTTAACATACACCATTTTTGAATCTTATTTCTTATGCCAAATTAAAGGAAAAAAAGAACAGGAAAAAAAAAACCTGAAACAATATATATAAAAAAGAAAGCAAATAACATCAATCAAATACATGGGAAAGGTAAATACATTCTCTGCATATGAACTTCCATTGTTTCTTGAGAACACAATATAAAAAGAAAACATCCTTATTTGCATTTTAAAAAGGCACTTGACTTATTTTGTGACTTATTACCAAGTGACGCTAACCCCAAATTTTGTATAAATATAAGATGTCATATCTCTTTGCTTACAATTAACATTTTATGAAGAAAATGAAAATACTTTTTTCACACAGGCTTATCTAATATTAAACTTCACGTTTGCTTAACAGAGCACATCTTCACAATAACAGGGTCTATTGCCAAAGGCAGCGTGCAGAGTGCTTGGAACAGCTCCCATCTCTTTCGGTTCACCTGTAAAAACATCTACGTGCTCCCTAGGACTGCATCTGTGGCTAGTTTTAAAGAATGACTATCCATGCAAATAGGCATAATTTCAGCATGAAATAACCTGTAAAAATCAAGAAAACACTCAAATGCGTAGATGGCAATGTGTATGTTTTTTTAGCAACAAAGATTTCATCATACAGTCCTTGCTCCTGGTTTTTACATGAACATACATTTTAAAAGAGCCTGTTTTACAGGGTCATGAAAGCAATATGGTGCTTCTTTATAATTTTTTGGTATGTTTGAGGATCAAATACTTTCAGAATGCCTCAGGATAAAATTTCCTGAACTTGGAATGGGAACAGATCTTAGTAACTTCAATATTGGGCTCAAAACTGAATTCAGAATGATTGTGTCCCATCACACCTTAGTCATAAAATTGTTTTCAAGAATGCAAATGTGCAATGACAAATATTTCACTAACACATTAGGCGTGATAAATCAGGTGTAGTTGTCTTAGGAAAGAAATTAAAGAGCAGAGCCTGAGACAAATAGGAAAAAAGATGAGCTATTTCAAAGCTCAGAAAGACTTGCATACTGGTGGGGAGGTCTTTGCAAGGAGCACTGTTTTGTGTGTATATCAGCTTTCCAAAATCAAAGCTCATTGGCATTACTTAAAAATTGTATGTCCTTTGTTTTTGTGTGCAAATCCTTTTCTCTTTAATATCACCTGAAGAGGACATGAATCTCCAAACTGTTGCATAAACTTCCTGCAGTATTTTTCTTCCCTGTCCACCTTAACATCCAATCTGGAATTTCCTCCTACCCATTCTTGCTGGGGGAAGAGCATCTCTGCAACAGAGACTCAGAAATGACAGGCTGGTGTAGGAGATGAGCACAAGGTCATCCCCAGGCATCCTTCCTTTCCCAACTGCCGTCTACCTCTGCGTCAACAGCACTTCCTCTCATCTAGCCTAGGTATCAACAGCTGCATCCCTGGCTCATGCCCGAGCCAAGAGGAGGGCTGTGTTCTTCCTAAGATGGAAAGAAACGATACTCTCATCTTCAGGGGAGAATAAATGTTAATTGAGCATGCTTGTGGGGTCTTTTAAGAATGAAATATCCTGTAACTTACTTCAAATTCACCAAACTAAACTGATTTGTAATTCTCTTTCAACTGGTCGGCGTTTTTAGACTAAATGATGTTTCATTTCTGTTTTGGGTAAGAGAATTTAAATACTTTTAGGTCTTGTTGTAAAATGTCCAGCTGAGACATGACAGATAGGACAAAATAAATGGGAGAAACAGGAAAAAGTACAGAATCTAGCAAGATAAGACATTATATTAATAGGTACAAATAAATATCTCTTTCCTTATAGCTTAGACCTAAATTTAGAAATAAAGGTATAAATAATACACATTGGGACCATAACCCATGGGCAAGATTAAATAATTATAACTCGTTGACACAGTACTTTATTAGTATCATGTTTCACAAGCAAGACATATATGAGAATAAGAAAATGCATTGTTAAGTGATTATAATGTAAATTAAATCACTTTAAAACACTTCCAAAGCGGCTTCTGCGATTTCCCAACTGAGAATTTACAGAATGCTCTGGAAGGACTTTATCACTGATATCCTGTCCATTAAGATTTTTTAAATTTCCTTTATTTCTCAACATATGTACTAAGCCATAATGTTTCAAATACAGTTATTGTTAATCCTTATTGTATTTTGACTTTACCATTATTTTTGAGTTTAACCAGGCAATATGAAACCTTTTGATTAGCACTGGTGAGTATCAGCGTCAGCAAGTATGTAGAAAAATAGTGATATAGAATTTGAACCCAAATGTATTATTGGGATAATTAATATGCAAATCTTATAGAATATTTCTATTGTTAAATATTTTGTTGTACCATTTGGCATCGGACTACACAAATGTTTTAATAATTCTAATACAATAGATACCTTAACATAGCAGATTCCTCTCAGAAAAAGATAAGAACATCCAGGTATGATCAAGTCAGATTTTAACTACTCCAAAGATTCTTCATTAGAATCTGAATTATCTGAAGAATGTCAGACAATTTAACATTGGAGAATCCTAAAGAAGCTGATGACTTATCGAAAAGAATGTTCAGTGAAGACGTTCAAGGAACACTGCAGTGGTAAATGGAAAGTGGTTAGGTGCTCTACTTTAATGAGAAGTTACTTGGGGGCAGGGGTGCAACTTTTCCGGACCTATCTGGAGTCCAGACTCTGGACAAAGAGGTGTTCATTATGGTAATTAGCCAAAGAGTTCGGAAAAATCTTTTGTGAGACAGGGAAGTAAGGTTGGCATGGTTTCCTGTTCAGATTATTTAGATTATCTGTCTTGCCTGATGAAATGATTTGAAGAAAGTTCTCAAGCCTACACCCTACATCTTTTAGAAAACAACCTTTGAATGGGCCTCTACTCTGCTTAAATCAACCTGGTTATGAAATTTCAAATGGAATATCACTAACAAAAAACATTTTAAATCCCTCTGGAAATCCGTAACTCTAGGAGGAAAAAAATTAGATGATTTGATTTAGGTTCTCTTAACCCACCCCACCAAATCACTAAGCTGTCAATTTCACTATTCAAGAGTTCATTTCTGCCAATTAGCAACTTTGCAACTTTTCCTTCAGAAATTCTTCTGCTTACTATCAGGTTAAGAAAGCCTTTAATGATTATTTTAGAAGAACCCACTTGACATAAACTAGTACTTCAATTAAGTAAGACTGTATTGTCAAAGTCTTATATCAGGTTTTAAAACTTCCTATCATAATACAGTTTTCAAAACATAACCATTTCACTTAAAATTCCTCCATCCTATCAAAAATTTCATGCATTTTTCACCTATAAAATGAATATAGAACATATTCTGAGGCATGCCTAAAATATTCATTTCTATTTATATAAAAGTAAAAATTTACCAAATCAATAAAAAGTGAGAAACAATCTCAAAATAAAACACTTAATATTTTTCCTTTTTATAGAAAATTGAAATACTCTAAATGCCTTCTGAGGCTTTAGAATATACTAGGTAGGCAATGAGGTTTTAGAAATTCCTTAGGTATATTTGATTTCTAATTTATACAGGTACTTATTTGGAATCCAATGATAGTACATCATGCCTATCCATCTTCATATTATAAAATGAGTAACATTTTACAATTTCTTTTGTTTGTCCCGAACATAAAAATTCCTTATATTAGCAGTTGCAAATGCAAGGCAATCTGTGAAGTGACATAAGAAATTCATGGGGGAGAAAGGGCCTATTTGCACTTGAATAAATAAAGAGCAAGCCTAGCAGCTAGTTTATGTCTTAAGATTGCAAGTGCTACTTATAGAGGACTGATGCTAGGAAACGGACAAAGTGAGAACAAAGATGCATGTTATATATGCATGACTTTTTCCCCCACAAGGTGGTAATTAAACTAAATAGAATTCTGCATAATGGACACATAAAAATATCAGTAAGTGCTGAGCACAGATAACCTCTATTAAAAATAAAGCAAATGAACATATCCATAGATGACACTTTAATTATGAAGAACTTCAAAAGCATCTAAGGCAAGTACTTGGGTGGGGGGAAATTTGATGTTTAAGTATAAAGAATAAAAGACACATACAATCTCATTTCCATGGAACAATGATCATCACCCAAACAAGAAAACCAACCAACAAAAACCATTCACCATCTAAACTATCTCTGTGCAACTCAAGAAGTAATAGCCTGCTTCAAGAAAAATTTAACAGGTCAAGTTTTAAGAACCCAGATACGGTATTTACATTTAAGTCTCAACATCTTTGCTCACACATTAAGCCACAGTCCTTACTTTCATCTATTTTGCCTTTATATTAACATGCCCATGTTGTTGCAAACGGACAGGTTAACCCAAATACGCTTTTTCTTTCTCACTACATACAGCCCATTTTATTCTGAAAATACTAAGAAGTTCTTGCAAGAAACTGCAGAGAACTGATTGCCCGCATCTTGCATCAAACAGAGAAGCAGTTACCTCTCACGTACTTGAGATTTTCCTTCTCCATCAAAGTACTAACTAGGACATCTGGCACATGTCTGGTACAATGACAGGCTCATTCTACTTTATGAGAGTATTTAACATAAGACTTGAAAGAGTTTATGCACATACCTATTCTTTCTAGGCAGGGAGAAAGCACACTAAAAAGATAAGCTTTAACAATAGTAACACTTTCAAACTGACTTTGGTATTCTTGGCAGTTACACACACCACCCATGGCTGTCCAAAACACACACACACACAAAAGAGGGCTCTCACACCACCCCCCACCTCCCCTCAGCAACACAGACCTAGAAGATAGGCATAAACTAGAAGGAAGCAAAGGGAAAGTCAATCTCCCTCCACCTGCTGCTTAAAGTGGGGGCACTTTCAGCCGCCTGGCAAACAGAAGCCTGAGACACAGCCTCAGCAGCAGAAGCCTGCCAACATCCTTAAGGAAAATAAACAAACACATACCAACTTGCCTCCCACCCCCAACCAAAGAACTCACATGGCAGAGCTCAAAACATAACAACAGCCCAGTTCCCATTAGCCTGGACAATCTTGTTAACCAGGGCAACCGTAAATCCATAAACCTCCATACCCCTGGAGCATGCATTGTGGTCTGGAACTGCACAGACACACACAGACACAGAGGAAATTTGCACCTGTCTTTCTTGACACAACACAAACCTGTCAGGCCCTGCCCATGCTCAGCACTCTGCTAACAGAACTCTGCCTACCCTGTTTAGGAAAGGAAATGATTTTTCTGTAAGGGAGGTTATAGGTGGGGGGTGGGGAGGGGGGGAGAGAGAGAAAACAAGGGAAGACGTTTCTAGCCTTGACTTTGACAGAAGGCCACCCTGTGCTTGCACTGTTTTTATAAGCTCAAGGAGACAACAGAGACCTTCTTGGAAAAATAAAAACAAGCAGGTAAGTTCCCAGCCTTCCCCCAGGCGGAATAGGGCTCTGGATTGCCAAGAATAGCAGTTTCACACTCCAACCTGCCTCCTTGGGCTATTTAAGACTGTCGCCCAACCCCTCCTCCTAGTTCTGCCAGACTGCAGGACTCTGAACTTCCGAAAAAAGCTGAGAAGTGGCGGGAGACCTGTGAGTCTCTCTCAAAAGCTACTCCTCTTTTCCCTTCCTCCGGCCCCCCTGCCCCCCTCCCTGCTCCTCCAATCCACTCTCTCCATCCGCGATCGGTTTTAGCAGGAGTGAGTGGCTGGTACACCGGAAGAACCAACAACTTGCTAAACTGGACTTTGGGTGATGTCTCCCCCCAGCTCCCCAACCCCCGTCCCCCTCCTTGTCTGTTCAGCCAAGATAGTAGCTCTTCCCGCCCTCCTCACAATTCTTCCCGGCAACAATTACCCTCACCTCTTCTCTCCTCCCTTCCCCAGTCCTCCGAACTGGGGCAAAACTGTAGGTACCACCCAGACCAGACGGGATCGGAGCAGCCCAACACCGCAGAACGCCAGCGAGGACTGAGTCTTCGCTTCGCAGATCCGCTGCCAGAGAACACCCCCTACCCCCACCCGCACCGCGGTCCTTTGGTCCTTGCGCGGCGCGGGCTCCAATCCCCCCACCACGCGACCCCCGGGGGCTCCCGGTGTCGCCTTCCCCCCCTCAACTTGACCTACCCCTGGTTCCTTGGAGCTCAGGAGAGGGGCGCTGAGCTCGTTCCCGGGACCATCTCTCCACCGCTCCAACCCCGATCTCAACATTTCGGCTTCGACAGCGTTTTGAGAGGAAAGTAATAGAGCGCCCCCCCTCCCTCCGCCCACCCCCTCCTCCCTCCTCTTGGGGTTAAAAAGGAGAAGTGAAAGGTATGCAAATGACAAGCAAATTGGAAGAGCCTGGAAGAAAGGCGGCTATAATAAACAAGACAAAGAGGAGGGACGTGGGGACGAGCCCTGGAGTTTTAACCGGGGGAGATGGGAAGGACGAGGCTTGGCGGAAAGCGGGGATCCAGACGAACAAAAAGCGACCCGGTCCCCTCGCGGCCCTCTCTCCTGAGAAGAGAGGGCAGGAGAGAGAAGGAAAGGAAGCAAACGCCCCCTCACACCCCAGAAACAGTACACAAAGGTGACAAGATCAGCGACAAGTCCGGCGACATCAGCCTCCCCCCATCGCCGCCACCAGCCCCAGCCGCCAGCAGCAAAGAGAAAGAAATAAAAGCCAAGCGGATCACTTACTCTCAGCAAATGGGAGGAGCGGAGCGCTGAGTTCCACCGAGGCTCCTGCTCAGAAACTGTTTAGAGGCTATTTTATTATGATTCATTTAAATATCACCATTTGGTCCTGGGGCGGGGGGTGGGGGGTGGTGTTTACACGGGTCTGAGTAATAAGAGTCTCTTTTCTGGTCTTCTCATTCAAGAACAAGCCAGTACTAGTGATTCTGGAAAAGGGGAGGGGACTCGAGCGAGGGAGAGGATACTTACGCGGTGCCGAGAGCGGTGGGACCGAGCCTTTTTTTTTTTTTTTTTTTTTTTTTTGCCGGCAGAGAGAGGAAAACACGCGCTCGTACACACGGTGATATCTTGCGGGTGATGAATATGGTAATTGGACAAGGGACGGTGAGTCTGTGCGAGGGCGAGCGAGCGGGGACAGGGGAGAGGGAGGGAGGGAGGGGAGGAGAGGAGAGGAGCGAGCAGGGGAGAAGGTGAGAGAAGAGGAGAGAAGAGCGCAGGAGAGGAGCGGAGGGAGGAGGAGCGGCGGGGCGCAGAGCAGCGAGGCGGGGAGGGCGCGGGCGGGCCCGGCGGGAGCTCCTTTGCGCCGCTCCGCTTTCCCCGGCGGCAATGGTGCGCGGCCTCGGAGCGCTCCCTCAGCTGAGGGCTCCGCTCCACAACAAGATTTACTTTAAGACACAGCTGAAGGAAACAGGAAGACTGCACGTCACAGTCTGACTGACGTACCCGGCCCCGGCGCCCAATCGCGAGGCGCCTTCGGATTCAAGGGGGGATAGCGAGGCAAGAGAACTTAGGAGGAAAAAAACATATAAAAGGGGTGGGGGTGAGAGGCTGGGAAGAGAGGAGGGGAAAGGGGACCCGAGCTCCCCCCGCAACGCCTCCACCCCCTCCCCGCCCCGCCGCCGCTTCGGGGAGCCGGGATCGCCGCGCCCCGGCCGGAGCGAGCCATCAGCGGGCGCTAGACGCAGCGGGGACGGCTCACACTCGCTCTTCCAGGACGCAGGTCCTTTTGCCCCCACCCCCCACCCCCTTCGTTTCCCTGATACAGATGATCGAGTTCGCCGAGTAGCCGAGAGTGGAGCGCTCCTCGGACTTGGGTGGAGGAAGGCACGGAAAAGTATATTGGAGAAAAAGTGGAGGTTTTAAGGGTGGGAGTGGTATAGGAGGGGGGGAGTGGGGACCCTCAAATCGTTACATTTCTTAAATGATAATAGATACTATCACGAATACATGTCATTCTACCTCCTTTTAAAGGGGGAGGTGGTATTTAAAATACAGGTAGGTTTGGTATTAAACTAATAGGTGCCGGAGGTTTCACATGGGCTCCGCTGCATCTGGTATTAAAAGACTCGGATTGGCTGAGTCCCAGTCAATCCCCCGTCAAAATTATGAGGAAGAATGTTTGCCCTTGGTTACCTCTAATAACGTTTTTTTTGGATCGTAAGTAAAGCAACTTTTTTGGGAAAAAAATAGTTAACAAACATTACCTCGCGATTATCCCCTCACTACTTATTCAACCCAGAATGACTAAAGAGAGGGGATTCATATAGGATTTACAGTTTTGACGCCTGGGTAATAAACTTTAGTTTATTAGGTAAAGAAATTTCAAACGCTCGGGCTTCAACGTAACGCTATAGAAAATTTACTTCAGTTTGCCATTTCTTGGATAAAAATAACCGGTAAGATTTCTTTAGATAGTGTGGCTCTTAAAGAGCTCCTTGGGGTTTCCAAGTTCCAAATGCTGAAAAGCGACCCTCCAGCCGCAATTAGAACGTCTCTTTTACTCGCCCCAGTAAACGGCTTTTAATAAAGCAGCTGCGTTTATGACTTAAAGATCCTATAAACCTAGGACTTGCAAGGGCCGCGAAGCAGAAACGTTCATACCTAGTCAATTAGACGTTCATTTTTTTAAGGTAGGACGAAGACAAGTATTTTTCGTGTGTCCCTCGAATTTAATCAGATCAAAGGTTGAATCATGTTGCGTCGTGACAACAGGGTGTTTATGAGGTGTGGTACAGGTGCCCTGGCCGACCACTACCACGTTCTTCTGCAGCGCGCGCGCGCGCGCGCGCGCACACACACACACGTATTTCCCAGGACACTTAAAATTTCAGCCTCAAACTCATCAAACTGTGAAGAATTCTTCTTTTCGAATAAGAATAGCGATGACATGTGAGTGTATACCCTGTAGGAAAACTTTTGACACGGGATTCATCACAGTGGAAAGAAGGAATACAAAAATCCGGCCGGCCAGGTTAAGTGCTGGGAATAAGAGACTTGCTTGAGCATCCCCGGCTGTCATTTCCCCCCTTTAGCCGTCCCCAGACACCTCCCAACACCCCATTACGGAAACTACATAGACACACGCAAACACACCATTCACACTTCCAATACTTAGCTATTATATCAAGTGTTCTAATCGAGATGTGACGGTTTAGGCTGGGAACAGAAATAATCTATCCATGTGCCCATTAGATGCAGGATGGAATAATGCTTCTATTGGTTGGGTCCTTTCGAGGTAAACGGGTGTACTGAGCAGCGAAATTTGGGTTCTGTGAATGGATCAAGGCTACTTCTTTCTTCTTCTTGGTCCTATTATTTTCTTTAAGTATCCCAGTTTGTACATATGTTAATGCCAGCCCACAATTAGGAGCAAAGCTATATGCCCTCCACACCTTAAAACCATCTGCTCGGTTTGACATTTAAAAGGAAGGAGGGCAGGGAAAAAGGAGGGGTAGAAGAAAGGAAGCTGAGAGAAAAGATTCAGACTCTGGAAGGAAACGGCTTTAACTTTAGCCCACAAGTTTATGTCAATTGCACCTAGCGCACCGATTGACATTTTTTACAGACTGCGCTCGGCAACTGACGGCTGGAAAAGTTCCCTGCGAGCTCCAGTAAGTCCTCTATCACTCCGGGAGAAGGCAGGCCCGAGGGGAAGTCGGGTAACCAGCTTGGCAAACAAGGAAGCTCCCCCATCCCCAGCCTCCCCGGCGGGGGCTAGCGGCTCGAGGTGCCCTACAGAGGCGGTTCGCAGCCCGCTTTAGGGCGCAAGAGATGCTGGTTGAAATAGGAGCGCGCGCGACTCTGGGTAAGCGAGCTCGGTCCGCAGCCCGGCTCCGCGAGCTGCGTAAGAGGAGCCCTGACCTGTCCCCTACTGTCGGGACGACGTACAGGCCGGGCTCCTGGCGACCTCACTTGCCAGAGCTGCGGCGCTCTCCCGGGTCTCGGGCCGCCCTGGAGCAAGGCGTGAGGCCCAAGCCCCCTATCTCGGGCGCCTCCGGGTTTGTTTTCTGATAGGGGAGAAGCCATCAGTCAGCTTGGAGACGAGAAGTCGCCTAGATATTGGCTCCATTTCTGAAACCAGCGGGCAAGCCTAGGGTCAACCCCTTCCCCCTCCCACTGGCAACACAACCCCAATAACTTGAAAGTCAACGGAAGTTCGGACCAGTCTTCCAACAAAGCCCATCCATGCAAGCTACATTTCCTTATTTATCTGAAGGCTGATCTACTGTGCGTTCTTAGTCAATCTCCCAGTTAGCATTTATGCATTTGGTTCTGGATTAAACACACTTCGCCTTGACATTTATTTCCTCGGTGTACTTCCCCCCACCTTCCCCTCTCCTGTTCTTTCTTAAAGCCGTTAGGTGGGGGGTGGGGGTGGTAAGAGGGAAGACTGCATATAAGTAATCTAAAACCTTACAAAGAATCGTCATTAGATCCGAAATAAACCAATTCTGGGAATTTCAACACGATCCAGATGAGAGGCAAACGTGGGCGTGGATTTCGGGAGAAAGATCCTGCCTGGACACACACACACCACCACCCACCGTACCACGACCATCACGCAGAAGAGGGGAAGAGGGAAATAAAACTAATTTCAGGGTGCAGGCCGGCCTGCTCCAGACAGTATAGATGCAGGCAGACTGACCGCCATTCTCTTATTCTCTCCCTCCCTCCCTCCCTCTCATCCCTTGTGCCCAGTGTGACGCCAAACCCAACCTGGATTTGTTCTGAATGGGGGGGGGTAGGAAAGTGAAATGCCACAAGATCAGTAGCAAGTAGCAGCTGCGGCGTTTCTCTCCTGGGAACCCCACTGTTTAGAAGCCTCCTGAGTGATGTTTGTTTAACCAACAGCTTTCAAAGTAAACAGAGGCGAATCGCTCCAAAGTTGAAATATAACCCTTACAAGAATTTGGGGTCGGGGTGCTGGCAGAAAACTAATTTTTAAAATAATAAAGCTCCCACTTAAAATAAGAGTCCACCACCATGTCTAAAGGAGCCCAGAATTGTCATAAAAATATAAATACATCGAAAGGATTCATTGCACTAAAGTGAAGGCAGAGAAAATCAAACTTCTCCCCAAACACACACCCGCGGGGAGAAACGGTTGGTTGTCAATAACTGAAGGCGCACACTACCACTTGATTTTATGGAAGTGGGCGAAAACAATCAAAGGGGTACGTTTGCTGCCCCGGAGTAGAAAGGAGTAGGCTGGGAGCTCTGCGCCGCCAACCCTGGCTTTGCCTCAGGCACTGAACTTTCCAATATCAAGATATTAACAGATGGTGGTGAGCACATGGAGGGCTGTTACTTACATAATCCAGCCACTCCGCCCGGCCGCGCGGAGCCCGCCGAGGCGCCCGCCAGGCCACGCGCGCCTCCCGAGGGGTGCTACTGCCCCCCAAAGCAACTGGCCTTTCTCCAACCCCACCCGGCTCTTAGAAGGCTAGGATTTGAACAGGTTGTGATTTCAGAAAAAAAATTCACACCGATCTGCTTGTGCTTTATCTTCTTCAGTCAACAGTAGCGAAGAAGCTGGAGACCCAAGGGCAGAAGGAAGCGAAGGGGACACTTTCAGAGGGAGCGGGGCGCACTCTCTCCGTATCTGGGGGTGCCAGGGAGTGGCATACACGCAACTGACACCCCTCCCTCTTTGGCCCAGATCAGCAGCTCTTCTTCCCTTGTCACTGAACTACAAAGACAGCCTCGGGCCGCAGCCGAGGCGGTAGCGGGGCGGGGTGAGGGTGTGTGATCGGACGCCTTCGCACGCGGGGGCGCCGTGGGTGAAGTTACGCAAAGCCTCCGGGCACCGCTAGACTTCCGAGCTTCTGCAGGTCGTTAAGCCCTGGTTCGCGCTCGCGGGGAGCCCCTTTCGGCGGTGGGGCCGCCTGCTGCCTGCGTGCCCCCAGCCACCTCTCCGGAGGCCCAGCGCCTCCGGTGTGCCCGTTTCCCTCCGCGTGCGTGCCGGGTACGTGCTTGCCGAGCCTCCCACCTGACGGCGCCTCGGGGCCGCCAAAACCTGGGAGGAACACGGTTCGGGTGCTGGAAAAGTTTGGGGTTAGGGGGAAGGCGGGGAGTCTCCTCTCCGAGTCCTCGGCCGCCCCGCGCCAGGTGTCGCAGCCCGTCGGCCAGGAGAGAGCTCGGCGAGCGCGAGATGCTGCGGCGGGGCGGCGCCGCGTTCGGGCAGAGGGCACGCCCCTCCCGCCCGCGGCCCCTGCGGGCCAGGCCGCCCCGGCCAACCCCGGGGCCCGAGCCAAGCGCCGCCGGCCTGGACGCGGCGCACGCCCGGAGCGGAGAGCAGCCACCTGCTACTCGCAAGGCGCAGGGCCGCGAACGTCCGACGCCGGCGGGCCCGCGCTGTCCGGCCGGCCTCCCGCCTGTTGCTTCGGGGAGACTGCGGGCCCGAACGCGCTCGCTCAGAGGGGCGCGCTCTCCGAGGCCCGGCAGAAGGGGCGGGACGGCGTCAGCTGGGCAATCTCGCCTCCTGCCCACCCCCTTTCTTTTGTCAGTTCCTCTCTGGATACTTGGCCGTTACTCCAGCTTCCCTTTCTTTGGTCTTTCAAGTCAGAAGTGTGAATCCGGGGGAGGTGCTCTACTTACTGTCAGAGCCTTTGGTGACCCGGGCTTAAGTGATCCTTCCTACCTGTCTATCTTACAAGGCTTTTATGCAAGGTGACAGCGGGTCAAAATTAAATAGGTGTAGGCCAGGCCCGGAGGGCGGAAGAGAAGGACGCCCCCGGTTTGGATTTGTTTGTGGGGAGAGAGACTCTGGGAAGTTGCATTTTGTTTAAATTAGAGCAAGACCAAGTTGAAAGCCAGATTTCTATAATTTTTCAGGTAATATTTCTTTTATGAAGTATCTAAGTGTCTGTTTGTCATCATTTTGAGATCAAAAGGAAAATCCATATGCTGCATAGTTTTTCTAAATTGCTATTTAAATATGTTTTAAATGTTTTATCCAACGTGGAGAAACGTGCTCAGACTGGTGACAAGGGATAGCAACGTGGTCTGAAGGGGAGCAGCGGTTCCCAAGACCTGGCCAATCATTAGGAATCACCAAGAGAGCTTTTAAAAAATAAAGATTTCTGGGCCCACCCCAGCTAGGCAGTCAGCAGGAGGACCTGGGAATCTAGGGGTCATACTGTGTTTCCAATTACTGCTCAGCCAGTTACTGACTCTGTGACCTTGGGTGTGTTACTTAGTCTACTCAAGCATCAGTTCTTTTTATTTGTTAAGTAGGGATAATATCCAACTCACAGAGTTGCAGAGAGTTTTTACATAAGTAAAATTATTCAGCACATAATTGGTGCTCAATAAATGGAAAGGTGTGCTCTACACACGTGGGCTGACCTGTCCTCCTATACAGAACCCCCCTTCCCTCAAATATTTTGGTAAAGCTTGCTGGATTGTCATTCCATATATACATATATGCACATTTTAGCTCATTCATAGTTGCTACACTGTATGCTCACCTCTCATCTTTTAGGCCATAAAAAGTAGAATTGGTGCATGTTTGAAAGCTAGGTCCCGCGTTCTTGAACATAGAACTGTGTCCGTCAGGGCCACTAACAGACAGGAGGCACTTACCAGTCTGAAGTCTGCTTTTCTTTTCTTTGGTCCTGTCACATTCCCTGCTATATAGATGGCAAACCCGTCCTACTGAAGCCTGGCATCAGACCAGTGAAATGACAGGACAAAAAGTTCTATCCAAGAAGGAAAGGTCAGCATCCCCAGGTAAAACTAAAACTAAAATGTATATCATCTCTCATGTGTTTCATTCATATCTGAATGAAAACTCCCCCAATTCTATGTAAAGGACAACCCTTTCATAAAATTATGTCAAACCAATGAACACAGGCACAGTCCAAGGTACTGGAGAGCCCAGCCAAAAGCAGCTGTGAGGAGGAAAAGGAAGATAGGTGGGAAGGTGCCATCCCTGGTGTGACCCTGCCACAGTGTGAGGGGAAGAAAGCAGAGGAATGGAATGGGTTGAACCAACAGATGAAGAAGGCTGACCATTTCAGAGGTGGAGATGGCTGTGCGTGGCTCAACATGCAAAGGAAGCCATCTTGCTGGCACCCTCAGAAAGCTTGAGATAAGAGATGTCTGCGCACTCCTGGGAAGGAGTAAGGAAGACATTACCAGCTTGGGGCATCTGTGGGCCCAGTGCCTAACGAGTGACCCCCAGGTTGGGAGGGGACACTCCCCAAATGAGGGAAAACCCAAGCATCACAGCTAGATGCCTTTCCTAGCAAAGAGGTGCGTATGTCTTTGGGCAGTGCCCAATATTCCTGCTCTCTGGCTACTCTCCGTTGGGGGAGGAAGGGGATGGGGTGGCGTCTGTGACTCTAGGGCACAAAAGAAAGAATTTCAAGACAACTTCAGAGAAATCCATCTGGGGCTATGCTATAGGGAGACAAACGACAACTTGCAACTTCTCACTCTCCAGCACCCTCATTGTGGAAGGGGCGCTTTTGCCTACCCCGGTGTTGTGGGAGTTGGAGCCAGAGGCCGGGTGGGTAGGAGTGTGGAGGCGCAGGGAGGGGTAGTGGGGAGTGAGCTGAGGGTGGGAGAATGGGAGAGGGAGGGAAGTGTGTTTTGGGGGTGCTGGGTGGGGGTCGCAGGTACCTGAAGGACGAGGCAGTGGACTTAGGGAGAAAGTGCGTAGCGGGAGTTCTGGGGGTGGGGGTGGGGTGTGTGTGTAAGGGGGAGAGTGCAGGAAAGTGGGAGGGGCCAGAACCACCGGATCCTTTGGGAAAGCTCCCGGTGGGCACCCAGGCTGTCAACGTGTGGCTTCACGGGCAGCCAAGAGGGCGCGTGAGAAAAGGCCCCAAGGGAGGCTACGCTGGGCCATTCTCAAGTCGGGTGAAGGTCGCTGCGCCTTGGCTTCCCCAGCCTGTGCCTCTCCGGGCAGCCATGGGGGTCTCACTCCTGAGGACCCTGTGTTGGGGCCTGGCAGGATGACTGAGGTCCTGCCGGCCTCTGGGCGTGGCTGCTCCCCTGCTCCCCTCTTCGCCTGCCAGCCCCCTCCGGTCCCCACGGAACCTCCCGCGGTGCCTCCACGGCTGCCCACGGCGGTGGCCAGCCCCCCTGTCCCCACCCTAGGCCCAGGGTTACTCCCTCACTCCTACTGGCCCTCCCTAGGCTCCATCCGTATCCCTCTCAGTAAGGCAAGTTCACCCGGCATCCCTTCAGCGCTCATCTTTGAGGGTGGTGCCTGGGGGCCAGGGTAGAGAGCCAGAGGGGTGCATGACCTACTGTGGACTCAAAGAAACCAGAATAATTCAATTCAACAGACAATTACCGTCTGTAAGGCACTGCTACGCATAGCAGTTGGTGACCCTGTTGAGAGAGCAGAGTGGACTGGGAGATTTTGGTCCTAAGCCAAGATGGGTGGACAGTCATTATCTGTGTTTGACTTAGTCGGGTTTCTGGAACCTCAATTAGAGCATTAGTCTAGAAGAATCTAGATGAGAAGCAAAAATGTCTACACCTTCTCCTTTCAGTATTCCGACGTGGTCCTTCAGTGAGAATAGGTGAGGTGGCAAAGAGGTATAGTGATAAGCAATGACAGATGGATAATTCTAGCATTTATTGAGCACTTCCTATGTCGGAACTCTGCCAGATGCTGTATAACCAGCACTTCCATTTTTTAATTCAAAAATACCATAGATTATAAGACACACCATCAATTTAAAGATGGTCTTTGGGAGAAAAGGAAAACAATCGATTTAATGACCTTAAATGCACAATGGATTGTAAGACATTTTGATTTCAGGAAGATAATAAAATATAAGGAAATGTGAATTTTAGAAGTGAAGAAATAAAGTATGTTAAGTGTAGTTCTCCTAACAGCCCTGATAAGAATTATCCACACTTTATGAATGAGTGCATTGAGACTGGGGAAGGGTTCCCCACTTGCTCAGGTCACAAAGCCAGTAAGTAGCAGACAGAATTTGGAACCCAGGTATGCCTGTGGTCAGGGCCAGAACGATTTCTCCTCGTCACATAACCTCTGCAAGCACTGAACCTGTTGGCTTTCTCATAGGCCTGCTTCTGCCTTGACCCTTATACCATCAATACCCACTCCCTCACCTCCAAGCTATGGAGATTTCCCTGAGAAGAAAGTCATGTAGTGGGGCATAAATGTACAAGATAGTCAAATTACATTTTTCAGATTCAAATAAAGTCCTTAAAGGGTAAAAACTACTCATGCCAGGTTTTGCTGTGCACTGCAGGAAGTCGATGAATTCAAGGATCCCAGTATTGCTGAAAATAGAATTGTAAAAAATAAAAGGGGTGGGGGGAGAAAGTGAATGAAACTAATCCTATTAAACGTGGTAGCATGTTTTTGTGGCACGCAGAGAGAGATTAAGCACAGGAAAGGGGATAAGCACTGCTTCAGTTTCACTAAACTAATGTGACAACTTGTCATTGGAAATCTTTGCAGCTTGTTAGTAGATGACTAGCTGATTCAGAAGTGTTTTCTATCACTCTCTTTGTGCCTCCCATGAGTCTTTTAAAAAAGTTTTTCTTTCTTTTCCTGTTTCTTTCTTGCCCATCCTGGTCTATTTTGCTTTTTAATCCTTTGTGTCTTCTTCAAGTCAAAACATTTAGCTGGCTCTAATCAAGATTGGTTTTGAAGATGCCCCTTGACCTTGCATTGCCTTGCCTAGAGAAGCCCAGAGGGACTTCTGTCCACCTTCAACCCAGGGCTGTCCTGTGGCTTGAAAAACAGAGCTTCTAGGGGAAAAACTCTCATTTCAGGTTTTATTTGTTGTTAGTCCTTCTCCTTTTCATTTTTTGTTTTATGCATTTATTTTCCTATTTTGCCTTTCATTTCTCTGCCTCCTCTTTCCCTCAGTTGCTCTTTTCTCCACTCTTTTCCTCTCTGATTTCCTTCATATTTGCTTTCCTCCCTTCTTCTCTTCTATCTTTTTCGTAGAATTTGTTTTCCCTCTTCAGTGC